CATGTTTTCTGTTGTTCTTCCCCCTGGAGAGGGTGCATGGTTATGTGTCGATGGTTGCGATCGGTTCCCCCCTTTCTCTCTTCCTCTTCCCCTCTTCCCCCTCCCCCTCTGGTATCACTATTCGCACTCCTGTTTGCAGAATCTGTGTGTCCTGAGCTCCCATCTCTTATCGATACCTGTGTCCATGTTCTGGTCTTGTCTGAAGTGAGAGGCATCACTGGGGTCAGGGGGGTGGGGGGTGAGGAAGCCCAAGGAACCAGAGGAATACAGTGTATTTCATTGAGACTTCCCTGCACCCCGGTGACTCATCCCTTCCCTGTGCCTTTTTGATCCCAAATGGTCGGGGATTCTACTCCTGGTGTTAAGGTTTCCTTTGGAGACCTGTCTGTTGTTTGGCTGTGAGTTGAGCCACGGGGTATGCTAATTCCCAGATCTGAAGGGTGAGTAAGAGCCATGTCTTTGGGGTTCCACGCGTCTCTATCTGACCAGTAAGTCTGCTCTTTTTTATTATCATGATGATTTCCATTCCACATTTTTCTTTCTCCCACTCTCTCTAGGACCTTCCAACTGCAATCCCTGTCAGAACAGTCAGCAGAAGTAGCCAGGCACCATCTAGTACTTCTGGCCTCAGGGTGGGGGAGCCTGATTGCAGAATCCATCCACCTGTTAGACTACTTGTTTCTTTGGGACTTCCGTTTTCTTCTCTCATCTTTCCTTTGGAGAGCGAGTGACCAAGAGTCGCTCTTTAGAGGATTTCTTCTGAGCTTTTAAGACCCCGGCTCTTCATTCCTCACCAAAGCTGCACCAAAGAGCATCATTCTTTTAGTGATTATGCTAATCCATCTTAGTGTCCCCAGGGACCTTGTGTGGCTCTCTTGACTGTCACCTTTACAAGGAGCACATCCCCGGGGTCTTTTCCTCAGTGGACTTGAACTGCCCACTTTCCATTAGCAACGAGGTGCTTAGTCAATGGTCACGCGGGCTCTTGATGTGCTAGCAGAGACTAAATGTTCAATTGCTGTTAGTGTCTTGGTTGTTATAGGCATTCAACCAGCGTCACTTCTAAGAAGCTTTCTCAAATAAGGTCAGACAGAATTCATTTGGTTGCTGCTTCAGGTCGCCAAAGCATTCTATGAAGACTTTTTGATTTTTAGTTTTATTTATCTGGTTGTTGTTGTTGACATGATACCCAGCAAAGCCCAGTGTCATCAGGGTCACTGATTATAGTCTGAGTTGTGCCGTCATCCTCACTCGTCTTTTCTGAGCTGTTCCTCCCTGGTTCACATACGTTTGAAGACCATTCCTTAAACCCGCCCCTGGAGAAGGGAGCAAGCCCAATCAGCCTATACAGTGAACCCTCGCCACTTCACGCTTCGACTTCCGCGGCTTCACTCTATCGCGGTTTTTGCGTCACAGCACCCACTGCCTACACCCGTCACAGCACCCACTGCCTACACCCGCTCCTTCAGAGGAAAGAGACGGCGACCCACCTGTAGAGTACATCCCTTAAGTCATTTCATCGGCTATTGATTACAGTATTTGTAAGAACTGTGTATAATAATACTGTATGTGAAATATGTCATACTGTAAACTAGATGCCATAAATAATATAATAAATAATAAATGATCATTGTAACGTCCAAAATGTTTTACTGTCTTTCCCTTTTTCGTTTAATAAATTGGGTAATACGAGTGTCATGGTGACTAAAGGGTGTTTTTTCATGTCCTCTATGCTCTAACTACGAAAATATTTGATTTACAAATAAGGAATCCTACTTCGCGGAATTTCATTTATCACGGTAGGGTCTAGAACCGATGAACCGCGATCAACGAGGGTTCACTGTACCGCGCCTAACACATCCACCGCCGGGACTCGGTACACAGCTCTGTGGTCCTGGTCGGGCTCGGCTCCCTGCAGGGAAACAGCTTGGCCCACACGTGGCCACTGGCCTGATAGCTTCTCACAACAGGTGATCTGCCTGCTTCTGTCGAGTGAGTCCTGCGTGCCACCCTGAGCCCGGAGCAAGGTCCTTTCCCAACAGATAACTTGTGGAACAGGTAACGGGTCGCCAGCTTCTCAATCTGGAGTGTGTGCCAGCCCAGGGGTCTGCCACCGGGGGCCAGGAAGTCCGGAGTCCTTCGCAGACACTTTCTCATTGCCAATGTGACCTCGTCTTTCGAGGGGGAAGCGGATCTTTGGATTAAAATGGACATCGTTGAATTCTGGAGTCGAAAATGAAACTTTTCACGACCAAACTAGGGTTGGAAAGAAATTTCCCTCGGAGGAAACGAGGACACGGGGTTGTGGTGCAGGGAAGTAATGTGTGTACGGAAGTGAGCCTCGTGCGGCTACAGTGAAGGGTGTGGGGCGTTCACTCTGACCGCAGAGATGCTCCTCTCTTCGGGGTACAAGGGCAATTGCACCGCTTCTGCCCCTGGACCGTAGAGGGGGTCATGTGACTTGCCTGGGCCAGTAAGCTATGGGCAGAAGGCTTGCTGGCATCATTTCCTAGTGGAAGCAGTCCAAAGCATGGGTGAGATTCCCCCTCAGGTGCTCATGGAAGCATTGGGTGGCCTGAGAGACCAAGTTGTGTGGACTCGCTCATATGGGACCCCCTCTTGCTGGGTAACTGTTTCCCACAACTACACTCAATCAGTATGACAGTTTAGAAAACACTGGGGTTATTATGAATCAGAAGCCACCGGCAATGGCTGTTACTAGGGTAGGAAACTGAGGAAGAGACGTTGTGAAGGCAATCAGCATCTCTCTGAGATGTTTCTTTTCTTTATGTTTAATTTAAATAATTTTATTGGGAGCTCGTACAACTCTTATCGCGATCCATACATGCATCCATTCTGTCAAGCACATTTGTACATTTGTGGCCATCATCATTCTCAAAACATTTGCTTTCTGCTTGATTAGCCCTTGGTATCAACTC